TCAACAGTGGAGGAAGTAAGACATTCCAGTCATCTTGGCGGCTATTACAAAACAATTCCTGTCCTAGTGTCCAGTTGTACTTTTCTACCATCCCATCAGACTGTGGATGAAGTGGCGTTGTCCTGGTCTTTCGGATGCCAAACAACTTGCAGCATTCTTGGAACACAGCTGATTCAAAGTTACGATCTTGATCTGAATGCAGTTCATATGGCATACCAAATCTGAAAAAGAAATCACTAATAGCCGAAGCTACAGTTGTGGCTTCCTGATTTCATGAAGGTTCGAGAAGGAAGTGGCGTGATACAAGAGTCACGTGACCTTCGCTGTCATAACAGTACTTTAAATAACGTTTTTAGAGTAGCACCGATAATTAGCGGCTAAGCTCGTATTTTTCACACATTGTATGTTTTTCTTATTTTAGGAACCTGTTATTAGAATTTAAGAGAGATGCCTGTATATATATAGTTTTTGTAGAAATTAGTAAAAACTCTATAACCCGAGCGTTTTCGAAAAGTGAACCTTTCTTTTTCAGGGGCAAACTGAAGAAGAAAGGTCCACCTTTCGAAAGCATTCGGGTTATAGGGTTTTTCTTCATTTCTATCATGACTTCTTGAACCTATGTATTTTTCTAACATCATGCATATAGTTTTTATATTATTTCAATGAGTAAGTCTGATTTTCTAATTATTTTTTTCAGTTTTGTGGTGATACTACCACTTATTCATAGCATCAATCAAACAACCTGAGCTTTAAATGTGCGTTTTTTGTTTCTATAGTCATATCCGTTTTGCTTGTGCTTGTCAAAATCTCTTACTGTGTTTTGTATATATTTCTGTGGGTAAGCAATGTTTTCTTAAAAGAGTCATCAATTTTTCCTAGCCTGATTCCACACTTTTTTTTTATATAAAAATACTTTATCAATCTTATGGAGATCGCCAACAACTACACTTCTTTTTACTGCTGGTGGATGATGTGAGTAGAAATGCAAATACAAGGCTTTAGTCGATGGCTTGTTAAAAATACCAGTATTGATTTCCCCATCCTTAACATGAAGTATAGTATCTAAAAACGGTAAATTTCTACTTGGTATGGCCTAAATAAGAGCAAATTTTACGAACGGATGAACCATATTTGTGATATCTCGAGTATTTCTGTGGAAGCAGAGGAGTCTGGGCTCGCAAAAACAGGAGGTTCGCGGATCTCGTATCCGGGTGTACTTCCCTGTGGGTGTGACGGCGGGCCACATAGAATTCGACTGAACACAGATTTCACACAGAATACAAATGCATAATGACAGTCTCCATGATTTACAGTGCAAGCAATATTATCCAGTAATACCACAAACTACAAAGGTGCAAGTGATCGGGTAGGTATAAAAAGAAAGAAGAAAAGAACAGTATGGCTAGCTGGAGCATTGAAGACTTCATTAAACCAAAGGTTCCTATTAACGCATTTTTCCCGGTGTAAACCCACCTTTTGATCATCCTAAGAAGTATATAGTGGTTATTTATTTCCGTTTTGTCCAGATTATGTTAAATATTTAGAGAGAATATCTTGTAGACCTTTCTGATGTTAGAGATATGTACTATTCGTTGTCTTGTGCAGTCATCCTGCTTGAGTTGTGTTTTTTGTTCATCTTTATAATAATATTTTTTTCAACTATTTTCATTCACGTAGCAGGTAGGAAACTCAGATTTATCTTAGTAGTACATATTCTGCCGAATCTCTCTCTAGTCAGAGCGAGTGTTCTTCCCTTCGTGAAAACATCACAATTACAAACGCTTATATAATTATGATAATAGAGTTTGCATTATATGTATATGCGTGTTTGTTTGTGTGTGAGTGTATGTTCTTTGACTGAAATGTTCGAAGCATAGTTTAAAAATTTTGCTTACCCGATAATTAATCATAGATTTATTCCCTTTTGAAATGACCATTTTGCAATAGTTTTTACGTTATAATAAAAATTGTGTTTCTTTTTGATAATATTTTCTTATAATATTTATTATATACGGTAATTCCACGAGAGGACGCAAGACTATATGACCTAACTGGTAGATTTAAATCTCAATCAAAAATCAGAAGGTATAATTCAGTATTACTATTACATGTTTGTGCCGTATTTGTAGTTTTATTTTTATGACAGAAGTACGTATGAATGTATAACGGTATTTTGGGCTACCATATAACACGAAAGCTGCTATTGTATCTGTTTTGGGTCTCAACTTAAGAACGTAACAACATTGAATGAACAAGGGCCCATTTGACACTTAAACTAGTTAAAGTTCAAGGATGTTCTTGTCATTGAACCACTGGAAAAAGTAGATATTTATACTCACCTTTTAATTTTTATTTTTCAGGAAATCGTCGATTCCCGCTCATATTCTTGTAATTGTAAAGTTCGGATTTTCATTGCTTCCGACGGCAACTTACTCCAAAGGTAAATCACTAGTATTACAATTAGTATTAATTATAAAAACCATAAGTAAAATTCACGTACCTAAATTAATTTAGGTTACTACATGGTAATTAAAACGGACTCAAAACCCCCATAGATAAAAGTAAAACTGTTTTAATTGGAGTCTAACTTGTCTTTTTTCCAAATTTAAAGTTTAAGTTAAACATGTGTCACTCGTCCTATTAGTATTACTAGTATTATCTTAAGAATCACTGCTACTGCTAGATTGCAAATTCTATGAGCAACAGAGTGGTGCTTTGATGGCTTGAGTGATGTATACTATCCATCTATATGAAATGTATGATCCAAATCATGATAAATCAAGTGCATTGCATATATTTAAAGGGAATTGACCAACTTACCAGTTGATTCAAGTCGCTCTGTAATACCTCAACATTCTTAGTATAGCAAGAAATGCTCAAGAGTTTAATGTCATCCCCAATCTTTACTAATTATGCCCTTATGAATATCATCAATCTAAATAAATAAGAGCAAAGGCCTATACACTGACCCCTGAGGCATTTTATTAATACCAAGGATCTTTACTTGAGGCAACTTCAGCATCAAACTTAACAAAAAATATGTTTTGTTAGTTTATAAACAAAGTTGTGGTGTCTTATGTTAAAAAAAATCAGCAAACTCCAACTGAAAATCTCAAAATGTTGTTAATTTTTGTAACTAATTCTTGCTTCAATAGTTAAATGTAAATGAATAAGCTTGTATTTTTCTTTATTGGTTATTTGCTGTTAGTCAGCCTAATGCTGTCTGGACTTATTGTGCCTTTGCATGTTTGTGATTTTTATTTTTTTTTGCATATGCAGTATTTGTTACTTCTTTATGCCAGTTAAGACATTGATTGGCTAATAGAATAAGATGCAATAATAAAGAGGAGGCACTTTACTTTTCTTAAAAGTGTATGTGAAGGGATCTCTTTTTCCATATGTTATATATAGACCAGAGAACAATTATGGCATTGTGTATAATTACATGCATTAATTTATATCGGTTAGTTTTGACATTCAAATTTGTGTTTATTTTGATTTTTCTTTGATGATAAAATATGATATTTATTTTAAGTGTTTTGCATATTTCGTCATAAAATAGATAAACTAGTTCAACATATGCTTCTTTTTATGCATACTTTCTTTTTTTTTTCATTATTCAAAATATGCTTGTTAGTTCATTTATTGGTATCCATCCATACTGTTTCTGTAAGCTCCATATCAGGCATATTGGATCACAGTGGGAACATGAGTATTTTACTTAAGATGTAATCTAACAATTACAGGATAGCATGTCTAGTCTTTTGTTTTTCTAAATACAATTAGTATTTTTGATGTAACTTCACAAAGTGAAACCAATCTCATTGTCTGTATGCAGCTTTCTCAGTGACTTATAATTTTTTTTTAAAGTTATTTTTCAGTAACAACTCATTTCTTTGATTTGGTTAAAGGTTTCAGAGGATCACTTAATTTATTGATGACACTTTAGTTTCACAGTTAAACAAAGTAAGATACCAATGCATATATAAACAAAAATAACTTTTCTCCATATGTTTTTCCAATAGAATCTTAAATTTTTATTTTCATATATATTACATTATCAGGTAAGTTATTTCACTAGTTATCAGTTTTAATTAACTAATGTTTTTTCTTAGAAAAAGTTATGCCTACATTAGAAATAATTTACATATAAGCTTTAATATTCAATTCATGACCCAAACTTTACAAACCAAGTATTATTTTGGAAGCTTTGAACACACCAATATCCTTCCTACAATGAGCTTAAGAATAAACATACTACTTCAAATAAAGTCTGACAGTAGCCTTTTCCAAAGTGACAATAACTTTTTACTCTTAGATTCAAAAGTTATATACATTAATCCCACACCTTATTAACTTAAGACACAGTAGAAGGACTGCTACTGTCAGATAAATGCTTCAGGTTTTTCTTAACAGTTAGACCTAACCTATATTCTTCTTCCTTTTCCAACAACAACATTATTTTCACAAATTACTGTACACTTTCAGACCTTATCAATTGTAAAACATTTTCAACATACACAACCACATACTAACTTGTAAAATTCTGAATTTAGAATATATTCTCCTCAATATCAGCTTTAGCAAGAAAAATTAATGTTGGCAATAAATTTTGGTAATTAACTGTTATTGAATTATGTATATCCTTCAGTATCATATAAACAAGGTCCCTAAAAGATTCGTAATAAACTTCATTGATTATGTTTTACCATCAGTCTAAAGTACAATCCACTTAATTAAATATTTTTATTTATGACATAAGAATCTAAGGTAAGAGTCATCCTGTTGGGAAATACATGCATCTTTTCAAAACTTTCTCCAGATCAAGCTATAACATCTATATAAATACTTTTGTTTCACAGAAGTTGTGTCAAAGAACTATGAAGTTACTAAGAATACCTTTTTCTAAGATCATGGTGAATGGTTTCTATGAAGTTGCATTTTTTTGAAAAATATCCAGAACAGTTGATTCCAAAACATCATAAATAACATAAGTCAATCTGATATGCATTTAATTTCACATTTTGTTCCTTATCTCTCTTGTTTATTTTTCTTTTGTGCATGTCTGTGTGTAGACAAGAACTACATATCTGGTCATCAGGAACTAATATGAGTTCATATAAGTTCTAAAAATAACTCTATGTGTTACCACCTCTTTTCTCAGTTACTTTCTTCAAGTTTTAGGATCTCATTAATAACCAGAGCTTTGTAGTTTATTTTTACCAGAACAGTGTTATTCTCTACACTAACAAGATGCCCATCATTTTCTGTTGAAAAATTTGTAAAAGTAAAGAACCTGTGCTTTATCCCTACCTTTAGCACATCTGTTATAATAACAGGTCTGATAGTTTTCTCAATTTTCTTTTGCTGTTCAAATAGGTATAGAACATCAGATTTAATGTATTAACATGGAAACTTTCACAATCCTTCTAATTTACATATATTGTATAGAGGTCATTATTATTGATTCCATCACAAAATTTAATTTTTAGGAAGCTTTTAGGTTTTAATTTATCATCATGATAATTAATTACCCCATTTCTTCACTTTGAATGGGATCTTCTTACATACATAGTTGAAGTATTGATTGTTTGGTACATTCTATATTTCAGGTTTAGAACACATATCTAAGTTATAATAATTCTGCTTGAAGCAGCTTTATAGGATTGTTATGCCTTAGATATGTAATTTTCAAAGATCAAAGGTTTTAACAACCCAGGTCTGAAAAATTGTATCCACAAACATAGCAATAGAGAAAAACAATTTTTATTAAAAACTGTCTAAAGAAAATATTTTATTTCTTGTTCTACTTGAATACCATATTGGTGAGAAAGTGTTTAATATTTTTTGTTACAGAAATTGTTTTACATGCTTAAAGAAATGTGTTAGTAATGTAACACAAAAAAATATATTCTTGGAAAATAAATGTGTATTAATTTCTTCTAATATTTGAATTAGATTTTCTTATGACTGATAAATTATTTTGGTGAAATCAGATTACGCTGAGTGGCATGGTAAGCTAATTATTATCAATCTAAAAAGAGAAATATTTGTTATATCTCATTCTCTGATTAACATTCAGAATAAAATCTTAGGAACATAAAAATAGTTGTATTTTTATTTTATAATCATCTATTTGCAGGTGACTTTTATGTAACCATAAATATGTCAGACTCAAGACTAACAAATTCTACAGTGAATAGCCTACGTAATTCATGGGTAGAGCTACAAGAAGACCTAACTCAAAGACAGAAACAACTGGTTGAGGACCTTAATATTCTGAATAAACTAACTGAGAATAAAGTATTTACAGAACAGCAGAGAGGAAAGATTACAAAAGAAGCTAAAAACTTCAATAAGGGCCCAATAAAGCTTCAAAATCTTTCTAATATTGTACCTAGAAATATGTATTCCAAAAAGAAAGGAGGCAAATCATTTAATCAGTCTGCAGATAGACATACTGGAATTGAGAAAAGAAAGATGAATATGAAGATAAATAATCCATACAAAAAAAATAAAAATATAATAGTAAATACCAAAAATGTAGATGAACAACTGAGTAAAGAAGATGGGCCTGGATCTTCTAATTCAGTAACAGAATCAAGTGACTCAAGTCAGTTACAGTCTGTATCTACTCAGACAGAGGTTGGAATTAATGCTTTTACATCAGTCCAAGTTCTTACAACGCCACTTAGAGTAGTTTCTGATCAAGAATATTTCCAGAGAGACAAGAAACTTGAAGTTTTGACAGATTCATATGTAACTGATTTTAGTAGAGATTCAGCCATACAAAAAGATAAAGTTGACAGAATTACAGGTAAAAAAAAAGAAATTAAAGACAAAAATATTGTTATTTATAAATATTCTGTAAAAATAGCACATAAATATGAGGTTTTAAAATAATGAGAGTATAAAAAATGTGAGCACATGAACTCTATTTCTGTACAAGAAATCTTAACTTATTCATAAACAATATCAGTGTAACAAGCTTCATTCATCACTGGTACTATTTAGAGACATTTTGAAATACAAATGTAGATTTCCATCGAGTATTGGACCTATTAAGGATCTATTTTAAATTTTCAAAAATAGGTAGAATTGATTTCTTTGGAAATTTAAACTACTTCACAGTTACAGTAGTTGTACTAGCCTTAGTGGTTATTTTTTTTAAACATTAATTCTCTTGCATGCAAATGTTAGTAATGGTTATGATGCTGCTAGTGGTCAGTATGCTGTCTTACATATACTTTTTTTAATGGGTACGCTTGCAAAAGTAGAGAGCGAGTTAGATCCTCAGTGACACTTCACTACATCTTGTACCATGTATTGAACATCCTATTTGCCTTAGTCTGTTGACAAGTGATTTCACTTGCAAAAGTAGAGAGCAAGTTAGATCCTGTCAGTGACACTTCACTATCTCTTGTGCCATGTATCAAACATCCTATTTGCTTTAGTCTGTTGGAAAGTGATTTCCTGGATGTTGGATTACTAGTCTGTATACATTATTTTCAAGGATGTTACTTGCTAATTGAGAATTTTTCTTCATTGAAATGGATAATTTCAGTGAAGGAAAGAAGGAATCTACAAATGACATGGAGGTCTAATCTATTCTTTGGTTCACTACTCCCTGTGCATACCTAATGTAGGTTATTAGTGATGAGTAAGGGACTTTACATCAAGCCCTGAAAACAAAATTACTTGTTATTTAGACAATGGAAGGGGTGTGTGGACCTGTACTTAGATTTTCAAAAGCTTTTGGTAAATTGCCACACAGAAGATTAACTAAGACAATCACATTTATAGAGGTTGGAAAGAATTAATTAATTGGATTATAGGGTAGTTGGGTAGTAAGTAATGCATTTGGGTTATTATTATTTGGATCACGTTTTATATAAATGGAAAGGATCTTGTCATAATGGTGGATAAGTCACTCGAGCTGTTGAGACAACTCTGTGTTAATTTATTTGTTCTTTAGAAAGAAGGATTAGAGATGATATAATTCAAACTTAGAAGATTATCTGGGGGTTTGATAATATAAAGGCCTCTGATTTCTTTGTGCTGTATTCTGAAGACAGGGCACAAGTTCAGGATTTAGAAAAGACAAGCTAGACTCCACTTAAGACAGTTTTATTTTTCTAACATGGAGTTTAACTTATTATAGAATGAGTTATTTGTGGCAGTAGTGAAGAAGGCTAGTGTTAAAGAGGGAAATGTATGATTTCCTGAAAAAAATAAATGGTTTTAAATTTTTCCATTTCTCAATGGTTGGTGTGTAAGAACTACTTTAAACATACATATGTCAGTCAAGTTTTTCTTCTTCTGATGAACTGTAAGAAATATTGACTATTTTAAACAGAAGTATTTGGTAAAAATGAATAGTTTAATATGTATTATCAGCATAAGAATATAACATTTGTTTTTATCTACAAAGTGCAATTTAATGCATTTTAAAGTTGAATCACATAATTTAGAGCATGGACATGAAATGTTTGGTATAGAGCTCTGAGGTTTAGGATTGTATTTTTATTAGTTTGGTAATATTCATCTTTTAAAAACTTCTGCATATTTTTGATTCTTGTTCATTCTGTTTGTTAAAAAGTGTAGAAAGACAACAAAACATTCTGTTGATTTAAAGTTGAAGAAGCTAGTTTAAGAATAAAGTGAATAATGTATCCTAAATGATCTATTTATTTTAGATTAGATTTTATGCTTGAAACTGTAGTTTAAATAATTACAGTTGATGACTTTTGTAGTTTTTTTTTTGGTTTCAGGTTCAAGAAAGAGTCTAAAACCAAGTGTTATGTGTTCACCTTCATTTTACCATAAACATTCTGAGGTGAAGCATCATTTGGTTAACCCAAGTTGTAATGCATCTTCACCTATTTTTGTTAATCACCATAAAAGTCTTTATCATCACGTACCATGTATGTATAGACCATCAGCCCATTACACTGGCTATCATAAAGCTGATGAAAGTCATACGAAACCAAATTTAAATAAATCAACATCTGTCCATTTTGCTGGCCATAATGATTCTACCCAGGGTTCAGCCAAGTGTAGTTTTAGTAGACCAAAATCTGCCTGTTACACTGATCATCACAAAGTTATTCTTAGTCAATTCAAGCCAGATTTCAGAAGACCAATATCCAACTCTTTTCCTAATCATCATGAGGATGAACAGAGTCCTTCCAAACTAGGTGTTAGAGAATCTTTATCTTCACTTTGTGCTGGTCATAATGAAAGTAGCCAGAATTCAGCCAAACGAGGCCTCAATCAATCAACATCTACCACTATTGTTGATCACCATGAGGTTCGACATAGTCCAACCAGGTCAGGTTTCAGCAAACCTTCATCTGCCCATCACTTTCACGATTCGAATGTTTGCCAAAAGACATCAAAGTCAGGTGTGAATGATCCTGTGTCAGCCTTTTACACTGACAGTCATGGAAGTAGCCAGCTTCAAGTAAAACCAGGTGTTGTGAGAGTGAGTTATGGATCTAACAAAGAGTACCAATCATTAGAAAGTGACATCAGCAGTTCTCAAAGTTCCCCATCTCATACTTCAGAAGAAGGAAGAGAAGCTCAATATTTCAAATTTAGTGTAGCCAGACCATGCAGTGAAACTGGCAGAAGTCCCCCAGTTAGGTAAACCAATATTTGTTTTTTTCTTATTTAACATGCATCATATGAGCCAAGGGGGTCTTTTTACTATGGGATTATAGCTTACCAAAAATTTTCCAATGTGAAAACTGTTAAAAACCACATACTTAGATGTACCTTGAACCAAGAAACTCTCACAAAAAATTAATAAATATTTCAAAAGTTATGGCACTTTGTTTCCAAGTGGATGTTCATAGTTAAGCACATAGGCCTGGTAATATAATTACTATAGGATGGTTGTTGTTTGACTTTTCTTCTTTTGCTGTGACCACATTCGAGAAATTAATGACTTCAGTTGATCATCTCTTGGGAAATCGCCATTGTGAACGTCATCATTATGCTGAACCTTGAGCTCGCAAACTGCATTTTTAGGTGTAGTGGTGCAGTTTGATTCAGTTTCCAACAAGGTACTTTACTTCCATTCACATACGTAGGTATTCTCGTTCAGTGCTGTCCTCTATTTGCAAAAACGTTTTAGCATGCCACAAGCATTTCATCCCCATACACCCCTAAATTCACATGTTTTAACTGATTCTCACATGCAAATTATCATGCGACAAATCTCCACCATCAGTAGTGCCATGCACCCATGTCCCTTCTTTTATGCTATTCTACCCAACTATCACTTTGTTTGGCAGTGCTCGTTTTCAGACAGTTTGTGCTCTCTTCAATTTTTTTTTTTTTATCTTCATATCAATTTCTCTCAACAAGTTTACTGTCTATTATACAATAGTGATATTTGTAACTTATTCTGAAGTGGAATTATTTTATATTTCTCCCAGTTACGGAACTTATTACTTAATTACAAAATTTTTCTACATTTTATTTCTTTCTGTCAGCACGGTTGTGTTTAGTTATTCATTTAAAATTATGAATTTTATGTTACCACTTTGGAGGTTATATCTTCTATCAGCACATTTACACAGGCTTCAGGTAGCAGTCCTGAACAGGGGTATTATAGGCTTTACTTCATTAGAAAATTGATCATTCAATGAGCTGACCTTCGTTGGGTCTAGTCTCAAGTTTGGGGTACCACACATTTTGAAATATGGTCTGCTGATTTTGGAAAGATAAAATGTTATACTGTTATGGTTTTTGAATATTTCTACTGTTCATATTATTATCCATAGTTATTTGGGTTCAATAACATGAGTTTAGTTAGATTGGTCAGTACTCATAGTCAAGTTCAGGTTTGAAATTAGAGCTTATTTGTATCCTTTGTCCCATAACATTAGATTAACCTTAACATGATTTTTTTGTTATTTTAGGATTACCTGTAATTTAACTTACTGGTATATCATAATTTAAGTTAACTATATTGTTTTTCTTCAATGCATCACCTCTCACACACATCTTCTTGTCAATACACACTTACTTTATAACATAAAGTTAATTTCAATTTCATTATTATATATCATATATACTTCTTCATATTACCTTGGAGCTACGGTACACACAAACATCTTCCAATATTGTACGTACTTATTGTTAGGCTAGGTTTTTTTTCAATTAGAGCTTTGCTATATACTTTGTCCTGCACAGTTTGATTAGGCTTAACAATTGTCTGTTATTTTTGGTTTACCTGTAGTTCATCTTATGGGTAAATTGATAATTAGGTTAAGTATCTTGTTTTCTTCAACACTTTCTAATACATGTTTATTTCACTACACATTTACTTAAGTTTCCATTATATCAATTATTTCATTTTCATAATTTGTTCTCCTTACAATTATTTTACCTTGTGTGGACCCCTGGATGCCAAGGTCCACTCTACCTTCTCCCTGTATTGCTTGCCTTCCTATTAAAGTTACTGAATCCATTTAGGGCGACCTATATTTCGTCAATTTTTTTCCTCCACCTGATTATGGCTAGGCCTACCTCAGCCTTTTCTGCAACGCTATGTTCTATATATATTTTGGTTGCTTTTTTGTTTGCTTCTGTGACATTGCCACCTTTATTCATATTTTATGTCTGGCATCTTCCCGTCCTTTATCTGTCATACCTATGAGTTTCTTCTTTCTTCATGTATGCTCAATGCTGATTGGAGTTCTGGATTGATCGGTCCTACATCAATCACTTCTTGGTTTTTCCCTGTTTTTAAATATATTCTTTCATCACAGTTGTGTGTGCAATTTCTGCAGGACTGAGAATGTCTGTGGTACATGTATTTATTTTTCAATTTTTGGGACGTTATCTTAGGTTTTTCATCACATAATTTGGTACCAGTTTTGTGCTTTGACCTTCTGACTTGTTTCAGTTCTGTATGTCTTTTGTCAGGTGGTCTGCAATTTACCTGACTTTTTGCATTTTTGGGGTTTTTACTAACAGCACTACCCGGAAGTCTGGCTTCGGTTAGCTCCCACCAAACGGGGTGGTCATAACATACTCATCTGCTTCTTACCCAAGCAGCTCATGTGGGTGGATTTATAGTTGGATAAGTTTTTCCTGTTACCCACCTAACAATTGTCTATATGGAGAGTGTTTTTTTACACACCCACCTACATTGAGACCATCCATTCTTCTATTCAAATGCATTTGTTGGAGCTTTCTGTTATCCACACCATTTACAGTTAATTATCTTACTGTTAGTGAGGTTCTAACATATTTGGGAATGTTCTTGTTTCATTCCGACTATTCAACGGTGGTGGCTTATTTCACCCGCCAAAAAGCACTTGTTCTTGTTCCCTTTGTGGTAGACAGTGGATCTCTGTTTTTGAACCTACACATTTGACATATGTCTCCTGGTGTGTCCTGTTCCAGGTGATTTCAACCTCATTGTAGATTGCCTTTCCCGTCCCAACACACTTTCTCCCAAGGAGTGGCCTCTCAAATTCTCAGTGGCTCTGCCTCCTGTGTGGTACTTCTCCATGGGAATCATTTGACTCTTTTCTCAATTCCAAGTTACTTCTTTTGTTTTTGGTCTCCAGTTTATCATCCACTCACCCTCACTTTGATACATTCAAATAGGATTAGAATAATTTTATATTAACACAATTAAACCTTCACTAAACAGAGATCCAGGATTAGAGATGAGTAACCTGTGGCTACCATTGGTTGAATCTATAGGAAATCTCTCCTCCAATCAGAAACATGAATAAACCAACCAACCATAACACGCTCTCCACAATCCACCAGAATACTATAAAGACTAACAACACCTTACATACACTGATCTGAAGACAAAAGGTGGAAGACTTTTGAAATGTCATCCTCTACACTTGTGCCTGTACAAAAGGCAGTTGCCATCCATTCTACAAAGTTTCATCAGGATTAGATCCAGTTTATAACTTTAGTTTTCTCATTTTGTCAGTCTTCTTCCCAAGGTGATTTTGTTTATTCAGATCACTCCGGGTCAGGTCTTTCTGATTGATCCTTCCTGGCTGGCAAAGATATAGTTTTCTCGGCTGTTTCAGCTCATTAAGTTCTTTTTGTTCTGGATTGATTTCACTAACCTGCACTTTGGGGGCTCATGTGGAATATTCTTTTCATTTCTTGTCATCTTCCATCTTTATTCTCAGTTGGTTCTGGATGACTTTCTCTGTTCCATACATGCTTTGGTTCTTCATTGCTTTCAAGGCTTCTTTCTGTTGACTCCATTTCTTGCAGTTTCATTCTCTTGCACCACTCCTTTGTTTGGGATTTTTTCCCTTCCTCCCTTACCCATTCGGTTCGGATTGTGATTTGATTGGCCTTGTATTCATTGTCTCCTTCTTCCTATAATCAATTTCTGGTTTCTTCACTCTGATCAGGCACCTTACCTTTTACCTGCATCTCAACCCCATCATCTGATGGAGGTACTTCATCAGTCAAGAACTGGGACTACTCCTCTTACATTCCTCTCCCATTATCTGCTTTGGGTAGCTGTTTTCTTCTTGTCTTGGTACCGTCTTTCAGCTGTCACTATCTTTCACTCTTTGGTGAGACTGTAACTGGGTAATTTTCTTTCTTTTTTTATGTATATTATTTTTCAGGGGCCTGGCCCATGTTTTGACCAGGATCCCTCTGTGGTGAGTGGTGCCTGCCCGGGTATACTTCGATCATTTAGAATTGTACTAAAGCCCATACTGTAAGGCCATGTTGACTTCATTTTTGTAATTTCCATGGCCAAAAAATGCACACTGTTCCTTACAGTCACATAAAGTAGAGAAGGGGTGTTCCACAAGATTGCTTATAGATTATTCCTTATGATATATTTGCTTCATAAGTATGCCTGTTCAGATCGTACTAACCCATGGAATTCATGGATAAAGCAGAAGAGGTTTGCTGCACATCCCTTAGATTGAATAAATTGGGTTTGGTCTACTTTTCAAAATAGGCTTTCATGGTCACCCATTGCACTGTCTCCGGTGTGAATGTTCATCTGGACTCTCCACTGAATTCCTCCACCCAGCTTCTTCCAGTGGATTAGAAGAGTCCTTACCACTTTTCAGTTTCAAGCCACTGGGGTGGTGGACCATGAAGGTATCCTCTTGAATGAGTGATATACAATATAAACAATAATGATTCCATTCAATTGAGAGTAGGGCAGCAGTGTTCTGCTGGTGTAGATGATATTTCCTCCAAATGGATGCTTCATCTCAGCACAAGTTTGTCAAAGGGGATGTTGCAGCTTTGGAGTGCACGATTATAATGATTGGGATCCCTCATTTTACAGCCGCATGGTAGTTGGTTCTCAGTGGTTGAATTTTGGCTTTAGAGCTGAACCAATCAACATATTGTCCACACTCATGCTGATTGGTATCCCTCATCCTACCCCCACATGGATATCAGTTCCTGGTGGTTTGATTTTAGATTGAGAGCTGAAACAATCAACATCATGTCTTCACACATTAAGTGCAATAGGGATCCCTCATTCTACACCCGCATGGATGTCATTTCACAGCGTTTGCATTTTGGATTTAGAGCTGAACCAATAGACATGATATACTCATACATGGAATGTGCCAGCATAAATACAATTTACCCCTTCGATTGGGATCCCTCATCCTACCCCTACTTGGATGTTGGTTCCCAGTGGTTGATTTTTGGATTTAGAGCTGAACTAATCAGCATAAGTCCTTACACATGTGATCAGGGTGTTTCTGGTCCCTCACTCACTTCGCCTTGAGTGCACTACCCAAGTCTTGTGGGTCACTTGTTGGTTGCTCCACTTCATCCTCTTGTGCTATCCCTCGATGTCTTTATGCCAAGGATATTAGTGCATTTGAGGTGGTTCCAGTCTGTTTGATTTGAGTGAGATATATATGTATTTCATTCTGCTCACATGTGCCCTGTTCACAGATTGGTGATGGGATTTCTCCCTCCTGTCAGCTGAACTTGAGGTGATAATGATATGATCCTCTTTCCTACCCCCGATTGGATGTAAGTTCCTGGCAGTTGAATTTTGGATTGTAGTTGACTTACCAATAGTATGATCCTTGTCATTCCTCCTCATGGATGTCGGTTTTCGGTGGTCGAGTTTTGGCCGCAGTTGACTTGCTACGTACGGTCCGTTGTGCCCTAACTACTCTACACTTTGGAACATATTCCTTATTTTACCCACATTCTGTTCATCAGAGAGATTGAAATTATGATATATTGTGGTTAGGATCACTGTCCAACTGTTTACTCTCCCATTGGGATGTGCTTCTCATAAATTTTCTACCCAGATCTTTCACACCTTTTCCACATCTGGATGAAAAATATACCTGGTACAGAAGTGGTGTGGTCTCCCATGTTTAATCCTCTTATTAGAGGGTATCCCTTGAATGCTTTTACTTTCCCCCTTGCACTGGTCCATTCATCTATTCAGTGTGGTATTCTAGCTATATATGTGAGTGGAAGTAAGGTACCTTGTCTGAAGTTATAATTTTCCTACATTTAAAAGGTATTTCCAACAGACACTTTCCACTTTTCCTCCCCACTGTCAACCGGTACTTATGTGTCTGCCTTAACTCGAGGTGATAATTAGGTAGAATACTACAGAAAGAGTCACACGATTCACGTGGGCATGTGGCAGTACTATTTGTGGAAGTTTGTTGCATGATAAATTCCATGCGAGAATCAGTCAAACTATGTGAATTGAGGGGTGTGTGGGAGTCAAAGGCTTGTGACATGTGAAAAATCTTTTACAAAGAGAGGGTAGCACTGAAGAAGAATAGCTATGTATGTGAGAAGAAGTAAGTACCTGTCGGAAATACGTTTTCAGTGTAAGAAAATTATAACTTTTGTATTTTGCTGTCATGGCTGTAGTACATTGATGAATCTCTGTGTCAGATGGTATATAGAATCAATCAGGATCTATAAATCACAGTTCTTCAAGCATTCTTCCTGGGCTCATTCTTGTGGTCCTCGAGGCCTTTCTTGAGCATTTCAACAACATTGTCTGTGAATTGATCTATATACTTTTGGCCATAAATTTTACCGTGTGGTGGGTGTAACACCCAACCAAGAGTAAATTCCTCCATAAAGCAGCTGGAATTCAAATTACTTCTTGTGTCCATTTCTGAATTACCAAAGGATTTCTTGGCTGCTTCCCACTATACTTTTGAGATATTTTTAAAGCAGAGGATAATCTGTCACTGAACAACCACAATGGCTGCAATTGAAGCATATTCCATAATGCCACAATAGGGTAGTATTTCTTCATCAACAACTAAGACCCCTCACTCGGTTTATACCACACATGTTAAATAAAAAATAATTCTATGTAGTTTTGAAATATCATATAACAGTATCAGTATTAATGAACAAAAAAAGGAGTCTCTTGTAAAGAAACAAAAGTTAAGAAAAGCATTAGAGAATATTGCCAGAAGTTTCTAATGTTACTAACACTAGGTGGTAGGACTATCCATAATATAATATTCTTCAAAGCAATTGAGTTTATTCTAAGGTACACGTATATATATATATATATATAATAGATAGCATCACATGAATAGATTTAAAGTACATAATATACTGCTGAATCAATGTTTTCTTTTAGTCCTTTCCATAGATAAAAACACATTCTAGTCTAGATATTCAGATTTGGTTGATTGGTCAGTTTTAGTGCCAAGCTATACATAGGGCTAGCTGTGCTTCGTCTTCAATGAGAAGTTGAACCCTGAATTTTTTTGTTGTAAGTCCTGAAATTTAAGACTAGTCAATCAGGAAACAAATATTTTAGAAACTGTATTATAATACATTTGATTAAAGAATATTTTACATCTATTAAACAATCAAATTAAAACAAATTGGGGGAAGGGGGACTGATTAACTGGTATTCTCAAATAACCAACATTATTCTTGATATATCTGTATGATTGAGACCTAGGCAAGATGTTAGCTTTTAGTTTTAGAATCTAGTTTTAATTCTTGATCAAGTTAATGTATGAGAAGCTGGTGGAAAATTTATAACCTAATGACTTATAAAATTATGGTTTAATTTTCACAGGTATTTGCCAAGGATTACTAATCAGTATGCAAGAGGTTTACAAAAAATGGAAGTTCCTGCTTCAAAAGATAATAAATCCATGTTTAAAAAAAAGGTAAAAAGTTAACTTAAAAGCTAGCATATATTTTGTTTAGTAGTGTATTATCATTGTAAGTATGATTAATTTGATTACCTATGAGCATATCTGTAATTGTATCATTTGTCTCAATTCTTCATAACTAAAAGTTATTTATTTTGCATGATAGTTACAATCGAGACATTTTTGATTTGAAATGTATTGATCTCATCTGTCATACTAAAATATTGCTAATATTATATCAAAAAAGCTAGTTTCTGTAATGTACACTAAGTTTGTAAACCTGTTTTTATAGTAGATCGCTATATCGTAAGGTTTAGTATTTTTTGTAATAGAAAAGTTCAACTGTGATGAAAACTTAGTAATATTGTTTATTACATGTTTGTGACTTAAGTTATGATGTGTTGCGTCAGCGAGTCACATGACTGGTGTGACGCCACTTTT